CTTGCTTCTGAGAAGTCCAAGTGATCGGTGATGTCCCAAGGTAGAATACATGACCTGCAGTACTTCTTCCATCATCTACATCGATATTATGACTACTGTCACTATATCCTGTGATCTTGCTAGAACCATCTCTCTTGAAGTGTAAACCCAAGCTAGTAGTTCCTCTTATATATCTCATTATGCGCTTGATGGCCTGCCCATGTTATTCCCTTGGATTCTGCATATACCGACTTAAGACTCCTACTGCAAATGCTAAGTCTGGCCTTGTGTGCAAGAGGTACCTTAAGCATCCAATTGTTCTTCTATATCAAGTGGCATCGATCTCAGCTTCATCTTCTGCTTTTGAAATCTTTAGATTTGCTTCCATTGGTACATGAGATAAGTTACATGTATCCATCTTTGTATTAATGAGGATCCCTTGAGCATAACCTTCTTGTTTTATTCTGATCCCATCTGCTCCTTGAATCACTTCTATACCGAGGTAATATGTTAATTTCCCAAGATCTGACATCTCAAATCTCCTTGACATATCTTCTTTGAATTGTTTTATGACCTTCATCGAAGTTCCTGTCACAATCAAATCATCAACATAGATTGCCACAATTAAGATCTCCTCCTTGCTTCTTTTAACATATACCGATGGCTCCTTTAAGCACTTTTTAAAGTTCATGTTCTTTAGAACTTGATCCAGCTTGATGTTCCATGCTCTAGAGCTTGTCGTAGGCCATATAGTGCTTTATGAAGTTTGTATACTCGATCTTCTTCTCCTTTTTTCACAAAGCCTTCTGGTTGGCACACATAGACTAATTCTTGTAGATCACCATTAAGGAATGCTGTCTTGACGTCTAGGTGGTGTATTTCCCAGCCTTTAGTCGCTGCAAGGGCTATTAACAGCCTTATGGTTTCGATTCTTGCTACAGGGGCAAAGACTTCTTCGAAATCAACTCCTTGTTGTTGTACATACCCTTTTGCGACAAGTCTTGCCTTATACTTGTTTACCGAGCCATCAGCATTCTTCTTTATTTTATAGATCCACTTTAGTCCAATAGGTTTAGCTCCTTTTGGTCTTTTGATAAGCTCCCATGTCTTGTTCCTTGACATTGAATCCAGCTCAGCTTTCATAGCCTCAATCCATTTGTTTAGATGTTTTGCTTCACCATAGTTCTCAGGTTCTCCATCAACAGTGAAGAGTAACCTTTCACCCTCAAGTTCTGCAATCATCACAAAGTCATCTAGATATCCTGGCTTTCGAACTACTCGACCTGACCTTGTCGTTACTGGCTGCGGTTCATCTCCTTGGTTTGTAACCGGAGCATTGTCCTCTGTTTCTTCTTCCTGCACTTTTTCCATAGGCTCGTGTTCTTGGTGATCATTGTTATGATCTTCCTCATATCCAGCGCCTGTGTAAACATCTTGTGGAAGCTTGAACATCCCTGGTTCTCCATCGGTTTCTTCTTGTTCCAATGACCAGTCCCATTCTTTCTGTTCATCGAAGACAACGTCTCTGCTTACAGTTATCCTCCTTGCTACTGGATCATAGAGTCTGTAGGCTTTGGAACCCGGCTCAGTTCCTAAGTTGATTACTCTCTTTGATCTCTCATCTAGCTTCTTGAGGTGTGGCCCATTGATCTTGGCGTGAGCAATACAACCAAAAACCCTTAGATGCTCGATGTTGGGTTTCTTGGAAGTAAAGCTCTCATAAGGAGTTTGATCATTCAAGGCTTTTGTAGGTATCCGATTAATGAGATAGGTTAAATGACGTACTACTTCTCCCCACATCCTGTTCGGAATCTTCATAGCCATAAGCAAGCTCCTTGTCATCTCCATCAGAGTCCTATTTCTTCTTTCTACAACACCATTTTGTTGTGGTGTGTAAGGTGCAGTAAGTGCCTTTGTATTCCATTCTCTTCGCAGAATAGATTAAACTCTGTTGAGGTAAACTCTCCTCCTCTATCGGTGTGTAAAGTTCTGATGGCCAAACCAGTTTGTTTCTCAATCCCTTCTTTGAACTTTTTGAACCAATCGAATACTTCACTTTTCTCTTTCATGAGTATAGACCACATGTACCTTGAGAAGTCATCGCAGAACAAAAACGTATCTGTTGTTGGCTGGTGTTGGTGGTGATATTGGTCCGCATAAATCCCCATGAATTAGCTCCAAGACTTGTGTTGCTCGATATGTGGCCTTAGTTGGGAACATTCTCCTAGTTTGTTTCCCTGCTTGGCATATATCGCACACCTTCTTCTCATGCAGCACTTGGGGCATTCCTCTAACCATATCCTTGTTGACCATATTTTTCATGACGCCGAAGTTGACATGACCTAGCCGCGAATGCCAGGTCCAAGTGATGTCGTCGCCTTGTACTTGGAGACATCTTGGAAACCATATTTCCATCGGTGTTTTGTAGAGTCTGTTTGCTGATCTTTTGACTTGTACAAGCAGCCTTTCCTGTGGATCTCTTAGTGTTAAGAAGTCTCCCTTCATGTTTACTTCACACCCATGTTCTGTTGCTTGTCCAAGACTTAGTATATTATGCTTCAAAGCTGGGATGTAATAGGTATCTTTGAGTGTTCTTCTTTCTCCGGTTTTGCCCAAAAAGATGATATTACCCTTCCCTTCTCTATCGACATAAGATCCATCTCCAAAATTGACTCTGCCTCTGATCTTTTTATCTAAACTGCAGAAGAAATCTTTGTTCCCCGTCATATGATTGCTCGCGCCATTGTCTAGATACCAAACGCTTGCATCAGTCTTGGTATCATAGTTTCTTGGGATCACTTTGTCTTCGTTTAAGAACACCACTTCATGGACGTACAGGGCATCGGCTTCCTCTGTCTCATTCATGTTTGACTCTTAGCTCTTGTTCTGTTTTTCAGGGCAAAGTGACGCAAAGTGACCAGGCTTGTCACATCTCCAACATATGACCTTAGATCGATCTTTCTTCTGCTTTTGATTTGTTTCACCGGGTGCTCCTCCTTGGTTTTGGCCATTGGATCTCCCTCAAACCCTGCCTCTGCCTCCTCGAGATTTACCACGGCCACCTCCATGACCTCCTCGATTATTTTGCTTGTTGTTGCTCCACATAAGCTTTCCTTGATCCTCCTTTTGAGCTTCTTCTCCTATTCGTTCTTCGTAGGCTTTTATCCTCCCAACTATCTTTTCAAAACTTGTTGCGTTTAAGTCTAGAACTTGTTCTAGGGAAGCCATGATTTGAATGAACTTGTTTCGGGGAAGAGCTTTCAGGAATTTCTTCACAAGTACTGATTCTTCGATGGTTTTTCCTAGTGAGGCTGACTTGGAAGCCAAACCTGAGATTTTTCCTGAAAAATCATCGACAGAATCAGTATTGCTCATTGTCAACTTGTCGAACTCTGCCATCAACGTCTGTTGCCTTGCTTCTTTCACTCGATCTGCTCCTAGATGTCGCGACTTGATAGCATCCCAGACTCCTTTTGATGTAGTTTACTCTCCTAGTTGAAGTATGAGCGTTTCAGGTATAGATTGGAACAGTAGGGCTATCGCAATTTCATTCTTCTTTGCATCCGTAGATCCTGGTTCGATTGTGTCCCAAACTTCATATACCCTTAACATAACTCTTATCCTCATCGTCCAAACTGTGTAGTTTGTCGATGTTAGCATAGGACATTGGATCGCTGCTGATCCGATATCCTTTGAATGCGGTTGAACCAGCTCGTCTCCCATCGTCGTGTTTCTTATGATCTTCGTGTTAGTATTCCCTTAGGCTTCGTCTTTGCTCTAATACCAATTCAAAGATGTAATGTGCTAAGAACTTAGTTATAAAGAACTTCTCTTCTTTATTGATTTAGAAACTTCTCAAAACTAAATCACTCTTTCTTAGTCTTAAGGAACAACTCTCCTTAGACTCTGTTTATATAGATATTAGCTTCTCCTAATTCTATATGATAAAGGAAATATAAAACCTTATCTAGATATTAAACTATATCTTAAACCTTATTAAATAAATCCTTATGTTTATCTCTTAGGCAACTTCCTAAAGAGATAACTTCCTAAACAAGTTCGGAATTATCCAACATAATTGTATAGAGTAATCATAGGGATCTTGATAGATTATCCGTAATAACTTCTATTAGAGAATATTATCCCACATTGGAAGTTGGAAATGATCCTAAACAATATTTAAAATGGGCCACTCCACTCATTAGATTCAGTAACTTAACATAGTATCAAAGCCGAATCCATATCTTCTATGTCACGATATCTCACCTATCATCTTTTACATTCTTGCTCTGGAATTGGTTTTGAGTTTGCTTGTGTTAGATCAACTGGTAATCCTCTTTAATTTTTTCTTTCAAAACTTTTGTAGGGCAGTTTCTTTACCAGATTGGCTATTATGGATAGAAAAAGTGAAAGAAGTAATATAAATGGATAATGAGAAGAAGAAGAATCGAAGATGGCTTAAAAACGATTGGAGTGGCCCAAAGACCTTGACCATGACATGAGAAATGGTTTTTGTCTCGGGTCATGGAAAGAGCTCCGAAAGTGGCTCACGCCATCAGAAGAAGCACCGAGCTCTGAGCTTCTGAGGCTAACATGACGGGGAAAGTGGTGTGAGTTAATAACAAAGCAAGAAAACAGAGTTTATGAATCTGCATTTTTTTTCGTGTTTCTACAATTGTCTGTTGATTCAAGTGAGAGTAAGAAAAATTGAAGTTAACTAAAGAAGCATAAAAAAAAAAGTAAAAATTGAAAGTTGAAACCAATCAGTTTCGGAATAAGAAAAGGAAAATAACAAACAAAAAACAATAACTGAGAAAAAGAAAATTTAAATAAATAAAAAAAGGAAATAAGTAAAGGAAGAAGAAGAAAAAAGGAAACTTCAATCGTTTAAAAAATAAACCCTATAAATAACTTCAACAACACGCACATCTGAGCCCTATAAATCTTCAACATCTTACCGAGATTTCACTCATCTCTCTTTCTCTGTTTTAGATTTGTTATATTTCCTCAAAAATACGAAGATGGAGGAGTCTGGAGCTGTTACAGTAAACATCGATGCGAATACTCGGAATAATCAAACCTCTGTTCATCCGTCGAGCCACCTCAACAAAGTTTTGATCAATCTCTTCCACAAATATCAGATATTCGCGACAGATGAATCCTACAGAACCGTAAATTTTACTGGATGTTACTGTCTTCCCGTCTCTCAAATCCGTTTGAATCTCCATAGCTACGAGTTCAGTCCGAACCATCTGTTTAATCTCATCGACTCTCGTCTCCATGATCCTCCCTTGTCCGGTCATATCGCTGAGACAATAGCTAATCAAGCGGTTCAAAAGGTTTGGTTTCCAGAGCCTCACACCATGGTTAACATCGTTTTGACCGAACAGGTGTTCGAGACAGTTTCAGTTTCTCGTCTTCCCGAAGAAGAGACCCAAAAGAAAGAAGAATCCACATGTGCGATCTGTTTGGACGACGACCACAACAACAATGAAACAACGGATACGCTGCTACCTTGTCCGCATCGATTTCATATGAGTTGTATCGCCGAGTGGTTAGTGAGGCGTAAATCTTGCCCTCTCTGCCGTGAAATTGTGGTCGAGGAGTCATGAAACAGGTGTATACGCAGCGGGTAGTTTACTTTAAGCGTTGTTGAACGATTCCGATGATCGAACGGTTTCTAAAATAGTCTATGTTTTTGTTGTTGTTCTTTTTATGTAATTGAAACTACTTTTGTTTCTAGAGATGTAAGGAAAGTATTCAGATTTATTGAAAGCTTTACTTTTTTTGTTAATGAAATACAATGAATAAGTTTAGAAAAATAACCAAAATACAGGTATAGTTTTAAAGAGTAATACGAAACATTGAAATAAAAATTATTGCATAGAGACCTATACGTGACACTTTCCTTCCAAGATAAGCCTTACACGCTAATATATTTTGAAACTTGTTTTCTTATTTGTTCTTTTAGTACCAGGTAGAAGTCTGCACTATGTGCGGGTTATTTGTTTATGTACATTAGAAAACGGTTGAAAACGTAGTGCTTAAACAGAATTAATGTATTAAACAACATTATAAAATTCCTATTGCATGTGATTTGCAAGCTCCAAAATCTTTTTTTTTACTTTATAAAAATATTTTTTTTAACAGCTGCATTTTATTAATATTAGAAACTAACATCATCCCAATGTAAATCATCAGAGATTACAAAAGGCACATAAAAGTGAAAATAGTAGTTTGAGTTATGTGGGATGGTCTTATTTGCCAAACCATCCGCAGGTCGATTTGAATCTCTTCGAACCCATGAAAGCTTTGTTTATTCAAACCGAGTTTTCCGATCTTGAACTTTCCGTATCCAATTGTAAACTTCAAAGTTGAGTTTTCTCCCATTCAATAAATCAATGACCTCCTTACAGTCACCTTCAAAATAAATTTCTTGTAACCACGGGACCAACACTTTTGCACTGCCATGAACATTCATTTTTTTTCTCCCCTTTGCTTAAACTCCACCGATATACCTGGCAAAATTGTTCATAAATATTAATATTAAACATGGTATAATAGATGTTGAAAAAAAAAAAACATGGTAAAATATTGTTGAACCACTCTCAAACCAGATTTCCTTTAGTTAAGATATATATTATTATAATATATAGAACATAATTTCCAGTTAACATATAAATTAGTATGAATCTAATAATGGATATACAACAAAAAAAAGTATAACATGACTAAAAGACTCAAAAAACAAACAAAAAGGAAGAACGTACTTGCGAGGTACGTTTTCTAGATATATATAAAGAACATCGTGTATGATATATACGGTTTCTAGACATATATAATTGTTAGTGGATATGCTACAACAAATTTGGATGTTAAAATGTTTATAAACAACAAGAAAAAGTTCGGCATGACTAAAAGAATCAATAGATGAAAAGAAAAAAAGTACTTGGAGTTGCTTGATAAAAAAGGGGAGAACTGCTTTTATAGTACAAATTCAAAACAATTTTGTCTTTTTAGTGGTTTTTATTGTTTAGTACATGAAAATTATTTATATTTTAGTAGTTTTATTTTAAAATAAATTTGAAACACTTTCTAAAAAAATTCTGAAAATACAAAAAAATATAACTATGATGTGATCATAGACCGAGAGCATGACCGAGAACATGAACCACGGGATGAAGAGTTTGAACTGCGGATCAAGAAACATGAACCGAAGATCGAAAAAGGGGTTCCAGATACGGTCCTGATCGTACCAGACGGTCCAATGACCCGATCACATACCAGGAAGCTTGCGGGAGCCGTCCAGAAGTTCTTTACCGAGCTGTGGAACTAAGGATCAAACCAAAGAATGGAACCAACAGCCTATCCCAAGACCATACTTACATACCAAGATATTTACTAACTTGGTCAGGTATGGTTCCTTAATACTCTTTTTCCTTACACCCGGGTTTGTCCCAATGGATTTATCGGGTGGGATTTTAATGAGGTTAAGGGCCGTACCATCCTTACGACCGTAGTTCAGTCTATGTTTGGTTCGTGGGTCGGAAGTTCAAGAGTCACACTCGGCCAAGCAACTCAAGAGTCATTCAAAAGCTAGCTGAGGAGTCATTCAAACTATCTTTATCAAACTTATTAAATTTTCTTTGTAATTTCTGAGTATAACTCTTGATCTTCCCTTCGCCTATATATATGACCCTTGTATTCAGATTTTCGTTATTCACTTTTCATCAATAAATTTTTGAGATTTCTTCTCTTTTGTTCCTTGTGGACTTTTTCGATTCATTTGTTGGTTAGCCTTGAATCTTTCGGTTTATCAAGTGTCGATCATAACACTTGGCGCAGCCATTCCTTTCGGTTGTCTCTTTGAAAAGTGATAAGTCGTTTTGCGGGCTTATGGAATTTTGGGACTTTGTCCCACGCCCTAACATCCCTTAACTGCGGATCCACTCAGTCAACTCAGCCACAGCCTTGTTTCAGATCGATTCTCACGAATTTGGGCCTAAAGATTTTCGAACCTTGTTCACGCCTTAGCATCTCATTCGGTGTTTGGTTTGGAGTCAGGAAATTCTTAACCTTGACCGGTCAAGAGTGCAATAATCCGAGGGAGTTCGTATCAAACTATATTTACGGAAATCAGTTAAGGAAAAAAAATATTTTTAAAGTATAGTTTACATTTTGAGATTTCGTCTCTTTTTTTCTTTGCAAACTTTTTCGATTCATTTGGTGGTTAGCCTTGAATCTTTCTATTTATCAAGTGCCGATCATAATACTTGACGCAGCCATTCCTTTCGGTTGTCTTTTTGATACGAACTCCCTCGGATTATTTCGAACCTTGTTCACGTCTTAGCATCTCATTCGGTGATTGGTTTGGAGTCAGGAAATTCTTAACCTCGACCGGTCAAGAGTGCAATAATCCGAGGGAGTTCGTATCAAACTATATTTACGGAAATCAGTTAAGAAAAACAAATATTTTTAAAGAATATTTTGATTTTCAAACATCCTATATATATATGTCACTTGTGGTTCATGGAGATCAGACAACAATTTGGAGTGGATTTTTGTGGCTGCTGAGGAAAGACGAGCTAGGTAAGTTGCTGTTGAATCAAATACCACTCTTGCAGAGTTAGAAACGATGGTTTTAGAAGACTATGGAGTATTCAATCACAAAGCTGAGTTTAGTTATCTATCGAGTTATTTGATGGATACCTTAGGTTCTCCACCAATAAGTATCATCAATGATCGTCAACTCAAAAATTTTGTTGGGTACTCTAGGAAAAAATCCTTGGTAAGTCTCTGTGAGATATTCACATCTAAAGTTGACCATCCTGAGAATACCATGAACATGGAATTGATGAAGAAGCCCTCTGATTCAAGCAGTAGGAAAAATGATGATGTGATGGTTGTGAAGTCAAACTTGGAGGAAGAGTTTGATGAACCTGTTATGGCTGAAAATAAAGGTTATGGTGACCAGAATGTTCGTCTTATGTTGCTTGATGTTGTAAAGAAGGACCAAAAAATTTTAGAAGCAAAACAGAGTTGAAGGCTTCTTTGGAAATTTCTGAAATGAAGCATAATTTCGATTACAACGTCCTGGAATCACCCAAACGAGTTAGGTCTATACGCTGCAAAGAGAAGTCATGCGATTGGCTTGTTCGTGCACAGTGTCTAGAGGGGTCTCGGTATTTCAAAATCTACAAGTATGTCGTTCAACATACATGCTTTCCTTCTAATAAAGACATGGTCGGTAGGACCAGTTCAGCGAAAACAATTTGTAATCTGCTTAAGAATAAATATGACGGTGCTAATTAAGGTCATTAACCCAGAAAAATAATTCAGATTATTCTTACTGAGAATGGATGTGAGATCTCTTACGATCATGCATGGAAAGTCCATGAGTATGCCGTTAGTTTTGTCAGAGGCATTCTCGGGAAAAGGTTTGGAAAAATTCTTAAATATTTTCACATGCTGAAAGAAGCGAATCCAGGGACCCATAATCAGTATAAAAAATAATGGTAATGGACGATTCAAGTTTCTGTTTATCTTTTTTGGTCAATCGGTAGGAGGTTTTTACAAAGCCATTCATTCGGTCATCGTTGTTGATTGAATGTTTTTGAAAGGCAAAGACAAAGGAATTCTGCTCATTGCTAGAGCATTAGATACTAACTCCAACTTATATCCAATAGCATTTTGGGTTGTCAATTCAGACAATGACCTGTCATGAGAGTGGTTTATGGTGCAACTAAAAGTTGTCATTGCGGAGTAAGTGGGTTTGGCTTTTGTGTCAGATAGAAATACTTCCGTAGTTAAATTACTTGAGAAAATGTACCCACATTCTAGCCATAGAATCTTTATCCACCATTTTCTGAATAATGTGGTAACATATTTCAAGACACAGGGTTGACTGGTTTGATTGCAAAGGCATCTAAAGAGTACAGGGTTGCTGATTTTGAGAGTAGGTTTGCTTCTATTTGCTCTATTACTCCAGATGTTGAAAATTATCTACAGGATGCTAGTGACACAAAATGGGCACGATGCAAATTCCCAAGGTTTAGGTACGACGTCAAAAACCAATAATCCAGCTAAGTCGATAAATTTTGTATTGCGATCACCTAGGGAGTCCCCAATTATTCATTTACTGGAAAATATCATATAAATGCTAACACATTGACTTTATGAGCATAAAATATTTACCTCAAAGCATGAGGCTCCTCTAACAGTTGAGGTGGAGACAAATATCAATAAGAGGATTGAGAAGGGTAAAACGTTGATTGTATATCCAATTAACCAGGATCGATTCATGGTCAAAGGTGACCAATTTAACTGCCTTGTTGATTTGGGCAGAAGAACTTGTTCATGTGGGAAATATGATTTGCTTAAATTTCCTAGCAAACAAGCAGTCAGAGCAGCGTTTCTGAGAACCAGCAGTTACAGACATTCATCAAGGAAAAGTACATTACTACGGCATGGAGAACAACTCATAAAGAAAGCATTAATCCAATTGCAGGTCCTGAGGATACATGTCGGGTCCCAGATGATGTTAAACATGCCAAAGTTGTAGCACCATAATCACGAAGAGCAGTTGGTAAACGAAAAAAATGAAAAAATAAAA